GCCTGGCCTGCTGTGTTCCTCCAGCTCCACACCTACTTTCCTTAGTGGTTTTGTATCAAAGGCTATAAGACTGTTGGGTATCACGAGATCCTGTTTTATTCTTTTCCATTCATTCACACCTCCTTTCTCATTAGGGAATACTAGCTAACAATTGAGTGCATTTTCTGTGTTCAGTTATGTGTTTTTTTTTTGCACTACTGCTATTCAGTGGTATGAAATATGTCGACAGTACATTTTAAATAAATAAACTTTCAATATTCATTCTGCCGACTTCCAGGATGAATTACTATGAGCTATATGACTAACAATGTTCTCTGTATCTTACTTGATCAACATGACTAACAATAAGTTTGTGAGTGCACAGTCAGGAGGTACACTACTGGGTTCTATTATTTCCCCTCTGAAGGTTTGTCACTTCCAGTTTATTTAATTGGCTGCAAGATTATTGAGACAGGTCCCCTTCAAATATGTTGCCCATTCTAATGAGGAAATAGGCTGTTGGAGATAGGCTGTAACAAGCATTTTGTACATGTATAGATTTACATCACCATTTGATGTTTTATGTAATTGCTGTTGAATATTGAGACATTATTTGAGAGTTTATTTTTTAACTGTTATCACTTAAACAGTTATACTAATTTGAACATTTCTGATTGACTTAATAATTGGACAATAGTAACGGAAATGTAATAGCTGGAATTAGTCCTATCTTAGTTGTCATAGGTTTTACTATATTTTCTCAAAACCCAGATGCATACAGTATTAGTTTGTTGTGAAAGGAAGCTTTGGCAGATCAAAGTGCATTGTCTAGGTACGTGGCACTTTGACAAACTTTTTGCTTTCTTCATAATTTGCCTGGAAAACTGAAGTGCAGTATTTTTGTTTCTTTGTTCGTTCACGGGATGAGGGAGTCGCTGGCTAGGCAGCATTTATTGCCCATCCGTAATTGCCCAGAGGCCAGTTAAGAGTCAGCCACATTACTGTGGATCTGGAGTCATGTGTAGGCCAGACCAGGTAAGGATGGCAGATTCCAACCCTAAGGGACATTAGTGAACCAGATGGGTTTTTTTCTGACAATTGACAATGGATTCACGGTCATTATTAGATTCGTAATTCCAGATATTTATTGAGTTCAAATTCCGCCATCTGCGGGATTTGAACCCGGGTCTCCAGAAATATTATCTGGGTCTCTGGATTAACAGTCCAGCGATAATACCACGAGGCCATCGCCAGCCCCTGCAATATGTTATCAGATTGTTTGAAATTATAACTCCTGTTTTTCTTATTTTCAAAGATTTCTACACAGAACTGTTCTAATCCCTCACATTTTTATTTCACCAGGTTTGGTTGCCAGCTGCAAAAGCTAAAGGTCTTGAGATTTCTGGTACATTTTCACGCCGCATGGGTCATATCTACATGGATCTCTCCCTGATGAACAAAGCCATGCAAGTAATGACTGACTTTGCAATCCAATTTAACAGAAATAGGTGAGAATTGAATTCATTTGGTTCTTTCTTAAACACAGCAGATTGTTTCACACTATAGTCACGCATGCATTAAATTCTCCTTCTGCACAAGCAACTTAAGAATGTGGGGGCAGAAGTAGGTCTTTCAGCCCATAGAACCTCATCTGCCATTCAGTTAAATCATGGCTGATCATCTAAGTCAATATCACTTGCCTGCGTTATCCTCCTATTCTCTGATGTCATTAGTCTCCAGAGATCTGTTGATTTCTATCTTGAACACACATTGAACTTTCATAGCCCTCCAGGATACTGAATTCCAAAGGTTTACCATTCTAAATGAAGAAATTTCTTAGCCCCTCAGTTTTAAATGCCCTAACCCTTATTCCTGGTTTTATATTCATCAACCAAGAGAAGTGTCTTCCCTCTGTAGTGCTCTAAGAATTTTGTAAGTTTCAGTGAGGTCATCCTTCATTCTTTGAAACTCTTAAGGATGGCAGGCTCCGAGTCTCCTCAGTTTCTGATCATAAGACAGTTCTGCCATCCCTAAAATTAATCTGATGAACCTCTGTTGCACTCCTCTAACAAATATATCCCTCCTTGAGTAAGGAGTCTAAAACTGTACACAATATTCCAGGTGAGGTCAGACCAAGGATTTATGCAACTGCTCCAAGACATCTTTACTCCTGTACTGACGTCCCTTTCCAGTGAAGGCTAGCATCATTTACCTTCCTAATTTCTTTTTGCACCTGCATGCTAACTTTTAGTGACTGATGGACATCTGCACTTCTCCAACCTTTTGCCATTTAAGAAATATTCTGCTGTTCTTTTCTCCAGCTATGCTGTGATGAAAATGTATACCTTTGAAGATGCAAATTTATTAAAAAATGGAGCTTATTATAAATATGAACCTGCAATAGATGCCCTGTGTGAATTGGTGATATCATTTCTTTTGTAAGCAGACTGAGCATCTTTCCATATTGGAAGTTGACTTTCTCTGCCCTGTATTTGTGACCTGATTATGGACTGCTTTCTCACTTGAAGTGAGATTTATTACAAATAGCAGAGCTGCTCTAGTTCCAGTGAATAAATATGTAAGGCAGTGATGAAGATTTGATTCTCTCTAATCCATCATAGTAGCATTTAGTCTCATGAGATAAACAAAGAACATGCTATGTTTTCCTACATCCAGGGTCTGTAAAAGTGTCTACAAGAAGTGGAAGATTTTTTTCGTTGAAGGGGAAGGAATGGGAATGGTGAGGAAATAGTGAGCCCCCTTGTTTGACATTTCTCTGACACTTTACACAGGACTTTGCCACAGTTCTTGGATTTGCACCCACAGTTTTTCTTTTCCTGTAGCAGATTTTTAGAAGACTAAAGTTTGGAGTTAGAAATAAATACTTCAGGGTTCTGATCATAGTCATACAGCACAGAAACAGACCTTTCAGTCCAACTCGTCCATGCTGACTATGTATCCTAAACTGAACTAGTTCTGTTTGTCTGCATTTGGCCTACATCTCTCTCAACCTTTTCTATTCATGACCCTATCCAAATGTCTTTTAACTGTTGTAACAATCTGCATCTACCACTTCGTCTGACAGCTCATTCCGTACACGCACCACCCTCTGTGTGAAAAAGTTGCCCTTAAGGCCCCTTTTAAATCTTTCCCATGTCATTTTAAACCAATGTCCTCTAGTTTTGGACTCAGTACTCTGGGGAAAAAGACCTTGGCTATTCACCATACCCATGTGTCTCATGATTTTATAAACCTCTATAAGATCCATCAATCCAGGGGAAAAAAATTTCCAGCCTACCCAGCCTCCCCTTATAACTCAAAATTCACTAGTCCTAGCAACATACTTGTAAATTTTTCCTGTATCATTTTTAGTTTAACAGCACCCTTCCTGTAGCAGGGACATCAGAATTATATGCAATATCCTAAAAGTGTCCTGACCAATGTCTTGTACAGCCGCAACATGGTGTCCCAACTCCTACACTGGATGCCCTGACCAATGAAGGCACGCGTAACAAACGCCACCTTTGCCACCCTGTCTACCTGCAATGCCACTTCCAAGGAACTATGCACCTGCACCCCAGGTCCCTCTGTTCAACAACACTCCCTAGGGCTACTATTAACTTCATAAATCCTGTTCTGGTTTGTCTTACCAAATTGCAACACCTGGCATTTATCTGAATTAATATCCATCTGCCACTTCTCAGCTGATTGACCGATCTGATCAAGATCTCGTTGTACTCTTAGATAATCTTCTTCACAGTCCACTACACCACCAATTTTGTCATCTGCAATCCTACTAACCATACCTAATATATTCTCATCCAAATCATTGATATAAATGATGAACAATAGTGGACCCAGCACCAATCCTTGCAGGACGCTGCTGGTCACAGGCCTCCAGTCCGATTAACTACCCTCTGCCTCCACCTCCTGACGTCTTCTGTCAAGCCAATTTTGTATCCAGTTGGCTATCTCTCCCTGGATCCCTTGCATTCTATCCTTACTAACCAGTCTCCCATGCGGGAACTTGTCGAAGTTCTTGCTAAAGGCCATGTAAAAAACATCTGCTGCTCTGCCTTCATCTATCTATCTTAGTAATCTCTTCAAAAAAGCTCAGTCAAATGGAGATGATTTCCCATGCACAAAACCATGCTGACCATCCCTAATCATTCCTTGCCTTTCTAAATGCATGTAGATTCTATCTCTCAGAATCCCCTCTAACAACTTAACCCACCACTGACATCAGACTTACCAGTCTATAGTTCCCTAGTTTTTCTTTGCAGCATTTCTTAAACAATGGCACAACATTAGCCACCTTCCAGTCTTCCGGTTCCTCACCCGCGCCTGTTAATGATACAAATAGCTCTGCCATGCAATCTGTTCCCTTGCTTCCTACAATGTTCTGGGATACAGCTGATCAGGTCCCATGGATTCATCTACCTTTTATGCATTTCAAGACCTCCAGCACCACCTCTTCTGTAAATGGACTCTTTTCAAGACATCACTGTTTATTTTCCCAATTTCCGTAGCTTCTATGTCTTTTTCCACAGTAAATACTGACACAAAATATTTATTCAGTATCTCTCCCTAGCTACTGTTTTGCTCTTGATATATTTGTAGAATCTCTTAGGATTCTCCTTTATCTTATTTGCCAAATCTATGTCATGTCCCCTTTTTGCCCCCCCTCATTTTCCTTTGAAGTGTACACCTACTCCCCCATACTCCTCTCGGGATTCACTTTATCCCAACAGTCTATACCTGACATATGTCTCCTTTTTCTTTGCCATAGCCTCCTACCTTTAGTCATCCAGTGTTCCCTATACCTACCAGCCTTGCTGTTCACACAAACAGGAGCATACTGTTGCTGAACTCTCATTATCTCATTTTTGAAAACATCCCACCTGACAGACGTCCCTTTTACATGCGAACAGCCTCCTCCAGTCAACTTTTGAAAGTTCCTGTCTAAAACCATTAAAATTGGCCTTGCTCCAATTTAGAACTTAACTTTCAGATCAGGCCTATCCTTTTCCATGACTATTTTAAATCTATAGAATTATGATCGCTAGTCCCAAAATACTCCCCATTAACATCTCAGTCTCTTGCCCTGCCTTATTTCCCAAGAGAAGGTTGAGTTTTGCTCCTTCTCTAGTAGGTATATCCACATATTGAACAAGAAGGTTTTCTTGAACACTCAACAAATTCCAATCAAAGCCCTTTACACAATGGCAGTTCCAGTCTATGTTTTGGAAAGTTAAAATCCCCTACCAATACAATCCTATTATTTTTATAGATACCTGAAATCTATCTACATATTTGCTCTTCAATTTCCCACTGACAATTGGGGGCCCTATAGTACAGTCCCATCAAGGTGGTCATCCCCTTATTTCTCAGTTTCCCCCCATATAACTTCATTGGATGATCCCTCATCTCTAAGTACAGCTGTAGTGTCCCTAATCAAAAACACCAGGCCCCTCCTCTCTTTCCTCCCTTTCTGTCCTTCCTACAACTTCTATACACTGGAACATTAAGCTGCCAGTCCTGTCCCTCCCTCAGCCATCTCTGTAGTAGCTATGATATCCAAGTCGCAAGTTCCCATCCATGCCCCGAGTTCATCTGCCTTGCCTTTCGGGCCTCTTGCATTGAAATAAATGTAACTTAAATCACCAATCTTGCCTCATTTTCTACCATGCTGTTGCTCCTCTTGTCTATTTAACTTGCTCCCCTTAACTACTGCCTGTGTTTTGTAACTTTATTATTGACACAGCAAGCACTGATAGGCAAAATCAGAACTTGCAGTCTCCAAGTCCAGTTTTTCCATTTGCCTTTCCAGCATTATAAACATTTCTGTCACGAAGACTGAACCTCACTCATCCCACAGAAGCCTTAAGACAGTGGTGCATTAGCTGGCCTACTATCTTTCGCCAATTTCCATAAACTTGAGCACATACAAAATTCTAATGTCCATATTGATTACCAGAGACGTACTACTGACTAAGTTGTTAGAGCTGCAGGCTTGCAAGATCCTAAATCCTGCTGGACTTCATTCTTGAGTATTAAAAGAAGTAGCTAGTGAGATAGTTTGATGCATTGCTTCTAATTTTTGAAAATTCCCTGTGTTCATTCAAGGTGCCTTTAAATTGGAAGGTGGTGACTATAACTCCTTTATGCCAAATGGGGCAGACAGAAAGCAGTAAGTTGCAGGCCTGTCAACTTAACATCTGTCACAGGGAACATGTTACATATAGATGTCTTGTGTGTGAAATTGTTCATTTTGGCAGAAAGAGTATAAAAGAAACATATTATCCCAATGATGAGAGATTGCAGAGAGACTTTGAATCGCAAAAGGCTTGCATGCAGATATAGCAAGTAATTATGATAGCTAAGATGTTTGTTGTGAGGTGAATTGAATGCAAAAATGGGGAAGATTATGCTTCATTTATACAGGACACTAGTGGGTCTTCAACTGAAGTACTGTGTACAGTTTTGATCTCTCTATTCAAGGAAGTAAATGCATTGGAAGAATTCAGATAAGGTTTACTTGAATAATACCAGGAATGAGTGGGTTCTCTTACAAGGTAAAATTGGCAAGCTAGGCTTGCATTTGCTACAGATCTGTAAACTTAACACAAAAGCAAATTATGGAAAATGGAATGGGAATAGAAAATACTGATCATACTGAGCAGGTCAAGCAGGATCTATGGAGAGAATAAAATTAACGTTCCAGGTCAATCATGACTCTTCAAACTGTTTTGGAAATCCAGTAACAACCCATCTTGTCCAACAGCCAAGTTTTTATGGATTGTTTTTGTTTTTGATTTTTTTAAATGGAATTAAACTTTTGTTTTTGTAATGGAATGTCAAACAACAAGATCCATCAAGACAATGATGGATTTCTTGCTCTCCACAGTTAAGTTTTTTTTCTGGTTTCAACAAATGCAGGTAATCAATGCCAAATTCATAAGACCCTATTCCATGTTCAGTCGCTACCTGAAGAGCAATCTCTTAAACTAACTTCAGCATTTTTACCTTTTCCAAATGAGAAACCCGCCCATCAGGTAGAACTCAATGAGGAAGCAAGTCTTCAGTTGTGCAAGTGAATCAGTCGCTATTGTCATCCAGAAGTATTTAGATAAATTTTAAAACATTGATTAACTTTTGCTACCATTATTGTTCATCATATTAAAATAGTTGATAGAATGATTAGTTATAATTTAGAAGCGTTTACAGGTTTCAGCACTTCCAGCAGTCTTTGATGATGATTCCTTCTTTATTGACAAATATATGATATTTCAAACCTCTGAGAAGTTGCCTGAAGAGACTGCTAATGTTTTGTAGATGTCAGATTTTCTGCAGCTTGGGTATCCTCAATATAAACTAGTAAGATTGTTCTGTGAGCGTATTATGTTTGGAAGCATGCTTATTTGCTGTTTTTATGTTCTTCTCACCTTTTACCTGTTTTTGGCTTGTCTTTTGCTTCACTGATTATTTTCTAGAGTCTTTTTGTATGTTTACTTTGCCATTATTCATGTTCCCCCACAAAATGTGTATTTTTCACCTGCTCATATAGAACTATTGGTGGCCTGAAGATGATTTTTATGCAGCAAATTGTTGTGATCTGGAATTCACTACCTGAAAGGTGGTGGGGTGGATTCATTCATAATTTTCAAAAGGAAATTGCATAAATTCTTGAAGAGAAAATAATTACTTGTGTACGTGGAGGGAGTAGAGGATGTCACTCGTAATTCTAGCAAATAGCTTGCATGGGCATAACAAATTGAAAGTCCACCTTCTGTACTGTAGGGTTCTATGATTTTGTTTTTGGCTGTGTTGTATAATGCCAATATTTTCATGCCTACATCAGACCAATAAGGAACGTTTGGAAAAAGTATATCTTCTGCTTTAGTAAGTTTGAGTTTTCCACGCTCTTTATTTTGTAGCTTCGGTATGGCACCAGCTGCTCCCCTACAGGTCAATGCTCCGCTTGCTCCTAACCAGACGATTGAAGCCTCTCTCCCTCTGAACACTGTTGGTCCGGTTATGAAGATGGATCCGCTCACCAACCTACAGGTCTGAGTTAAGCAACAGCTAAATCTTTGAAATTATTGATGTTACTATTCCTTCCTCACCTTTTCATGAAGCCTGCATTATTTAAGATGGTGTGTAATGTGGTCAAGTTAATTGTGTAAACAGTGGAACAATGAATTATTGTAAGCAAAACCATAATGAAGTCACGCCAGCAAAATTTCAGGTAAAAAAGGTTTCAGGTTAAAGACCAATTTGGCTATTTGTGGAATTTGTCTTCAGTGACTCTGTTTGAAGTTGAATAATTGAAATCCCATTAATTCTAGTTTGAACTTTTCTCATTAAATGTGCATTAAGTTAATTTGGAGTGGAAAGGAGAAGATACTTAAACTCTAGCATTGAAATGACATTATTTATTATTCTGAAGACTATACTTCAGGGTTTATTGCCAGACAAAGGGACACTTTTACCAGATGGAAATGTTTAATTCTCCAAAGCATTTTAAAAGCAGCGCTCAGTTGATTGCTAAACAGATTGAATTGACATCTTGATATATAGGTGCTAACCATGTAGTATTTAGTTACCAGCTATTATGTAGGTCTGTACTTACCTCAATTCTATGCCATATTATTGTCAATTTACTTAAATGTTGAATGTTATTGTGATTAAATTTCACTTGACTGTGTGAAGATCACAGGTAGAAGAAGCTCCCAAAAATGCTACATTATTTAAGTGCTCCTGTTCTTAAGGATCTGCTTTTAAGCATACTAAGCCTGAATCCTCGAAGAAATTTGAACTGAAATTTATGTAAATTTCAGTAAGTGATGAGCCATCCAAAAGCCGTACAACTACTTTTCACATAGCCATATAGCCATATAGTTTTACAAACTACTGTGATATTTGCTAAAGGTTTCATGACACCGTCTTTGTGAATCTGAACCCTTGTCCTCTCATGCTAGATGTGATCTGAATGGAAGAAAGAAAAGACACACCAGTAGTAGTTTTGGGTCAGATTTTGTTGCAGCTGCAATAAAACTTTCCTTTGCGCGCACGCACGCACAACAGCGAAATGAAGGAAACAAGACATTCAGAAACTGAGTGAACAGAAGAAGCTACTGTGTGTGTCTCTAACAAATCCGATTGAATTTTTATGAAAAATACAGCATAACATGTCTGCACAGTTAATGGCAGACTTAGGCAATATCCTTTTGATATTTTGCCCCTTACCTGAATTTGCTGTACCATTTGTACACAAATAACAAGCACAATAAGCATTACTGTTCTTTTGATCGTAAAGTCCAGCCCAAAGTAACCTTAAGCACCGTTCTCCCCACTCTTAGTAATGCTGTCTCCAGGCAGAAGCAAAGTGAAATTCTGCCCAACTATTGCTACTAATATAAATGCATTAGTACAAAATAGTGCAGTTTCCTGTGATGGAACATCATCCAAAGTAAGGGCACTACTCCCAGAACAAAATACTTTCATTGGAAGATGAGATTATCTTTTTTAGGAGTCTTTATTTCCAGTTCCATTCAAACTGTTCTCAAATTACTACTTCATACTTATCGTGAAGCCACTTTGCAGTGTATAAGCAGTTTCCATGGCAGGCTTTTTAATGTAAAACTATATTGACAATTCTTTCTACAACATTATTGTCATTTAGCCAAGTTTCTAAAATCTGCAACCTACAACTTTTGGTTTAGAAATTTTAGGGAAAAACATGGTGCCTGAGCTTATGGTGCATGGTAAAATATTTACGAGCAGCTAGTGTAGATGTATGCTCAACAATTACAATACTGTTTGGGTATTAATCATTCTAACAGGCATCTTAAATGCATTTTTCTTTTACAGTCATTGCCAAACCTTGTTTAGCATCTATATAGTGTAACATTACTCTACAAGGATGGAACGAATTATAACAAAATCCCTGCTATTTAAAAGATTTGAACACCATAATTCTATTTTTACTTTTGTGAACAGGTTGCAGTAAAGAACAACATTGACGTCTTCTACTTCAGCTGCCTGTACCCAATTAATATGTTGTTTGTAGAAGATGGAAAAATGGGTGAGTGTTTTCAGTATTCTTAATATTCAGGATAAATTAGAAGGCAGTAGCAAATATTAAAAAGATCTTAAGATAATTTTTCAGAAATCATTTACTTGAGATCATATTTACTTGAGTCCCTGTTTTATGTTGTTTAGCCTTAACATTGGTTAGTTAATGGGACCTATATTCTTATTCAATTGAACAAGATTTATTTAAAAGTTGGTTCTCCTGCCAGCTTGAGACAGCATTACATGACCTGGTCAGCAGCATTTTGAAATGGCCTCTCCTTCCTAATCCACCTCTTGCTGCTGACTCTTGCAACTTGTGGCCTTTCCCACTTCCTAACCCACTCTCTTGCTGACAACCTGTGACATGAGGCCCCTCCAACTCCTTAATCCTGCTCCTTCTGCACTTCTCATTGCTTAGTTTCAAAGCCCTCACTCTCGGCAAGGGTTCAAGAGAAGCCGGTGAGAGTATTTGGATAAAACATTGAATATAACACCCCGAGCACTGCACTTCTGCAGTAACAGGGCATGGACTTTCACAGCTCTAGAGCACGATCTGAATTTTGAATGGGAATGTGGGTTCAGAAAGAAGCAGTAAATGGGAGAGTTGGGAGTGGAAAGATCAGCAAGAAAGTAAGTTGAACAGCAGTGGGCCCAATTTGGAGGATCAGTAGAAAGAGTTGGTAAGGTAGTGGCCAAGGCTGTGAATCTGAAGGTCAACCAAAGAAAGGCCCACAGCAACCAGGAGAGTCAAAGATTGAGATGTGTGATAAGCAGTCAGGAAGTTGGGGAACAGCATCAGTGGTAAGCAGGATCATGAGTGTGCAGAAGATGCTGTCACTAGAATTATACCATTTTTCTTCAATATTTTTCAAAGCTATTTCAAAGAATTTAGCACTTCAAAGTATTCCAGTTTGGAGACGATGATGTTTATTTTTCCTTCTCTAGTGAGAAATGTCCTATAAAGTCTGACTATAGTATTTAGGTTGGATTTGATAGGAAAATATGATTTGCTTAAAGTTGAAATTATCAGGAATGAGTGAAAACCTAAATGCCTTATGACTTATCTTACAATTAAATTCAATATGCAGAATTTGATACGTAGTTCTGATTATTGTTTTGTTTCTATACTTTTTTCAGTATACCTTAACCTTACTGTCACAAATTGATGTCTTGTATTGAAAATTATATCCCCATTCTATTGTTATGATCTCTTTGGAGACCAGCAAACCAAAAAGATCAAATTTACAAAACAGCCCTTAAAAAACAAGCAAAACTCAACATAATCACAGTGACTCACCGGTCAATATGTAAAGTACACAGGTCTGTGTCTCAGATTTGCATGGCAGTCTTCTCAACATATATGACTATATGACAATGTGTTCAACTGCAAAGTCCTTCAAAATTCTTACCTGTCTCAGGTAAAATTAATATTTTTTTCTCCATACAGGGGTTAGTCATCAATTTTCTTCTGATAGCCACTTGCAACCAACCAGAATCTCATGCCCTTGTTTTTCCGCAAAATGTCCGGTTTTAGTTATTTAGATCCTTTGTAACTGTATGAGTGACAGTAGCTTACTTTTTTTAATTTCCACTCTTTGATCCCATCTACACATTGCCTTCGATAAACTACCTGTCTGTATTACTGTGCAATTTGAGATTTTTAAGACCCCATGACTTCACCTGATTTAAACAATTTTCCATTTCCACAGAAATCTGAGATCACAGCTTTGTTCCCCACAAACGTCAAATCATAGTCTCTTTTTTAGTTTGAGCTGACAAAAATAAAATAAAAGAAACAAAACAGCTTTCAAAGCAGCGTTGGTATAGTCCAATTGAACAGTTAGTCTTCAAATAACAGCTTGCATGTACTCCCTACTGGTCCTGCAAATCACAGTCAAACATTCCTTATAGAGTCATACAACATGGAAACAGACTTTTTGGTCCAACCAGTCCACAGTGGCCATGTTATCAAACTGACTAGTCCCACCTGACTGCGCTTGACCCGTATCCCTCCTAACCTTTCTATTAATGAATTTATCCAAATGTCTTTTAAATGTTGTAACTGCCTGCATCCACTACATTCTTTAGCAGTTCATTCCACACACGAACCACTCACTGTTCAAAAAAGATTGCCCTCATGTCCTTTTTAAATCTTTTTCCTTTCACCTTAAAAAAATATGCCCCTAGTTTTGAATTCCCTCACCTTAGGGAAAGGACTCTTGCTATTCACTTTATCTAAGCCCATCATAATTTTATAAACCTCAATAAAGTCACCCTTCAATCACCTACGTTCCAATGGAAAAAAATCCCAGTTTTTCCAATTTATCTTTATATCTCAAACCCTCCATTCCCGGCAACATCCTAGTAAATCTTTTCTGAAACTCCTCGAGTTTATTAATATCCTTCCTACAACAGCAACCCGAACTGCACAAAGTACTCCAGAAGAGGCCTCACCAATGTCCTGTATAACCTCAACATGATTTCCAAACTCCTTTAGTCAAAGGTCTGAGCAATGAAGACAAGCCTGCTAAATGCTGTCTTAACCACCCTACCTGTGATGCAAACACTACCCAGAGCCCCACCATTAATTGTGCAAGTCTTGCCTGATTGCATTCCACTTTATGCAGCTTTCCATTTCTTTTTGAACAAAACAGTGAAAGTTCAGTATATAAACTTTTGACAAGTAAGAAATTTTTGTTTTTCGCAAGTGGATTTTACTTCTAGTTAGAACCAGTGAATTATTTATCATAGTGGAAAATCATTCAATCCATAGCTCTTTTCTGACTTTCTGAAACAGCTTTCTATCTGGTCCCATTTTCCAGTTCTTTACCTTTTAATATTTTTTCTCTTTTTTTAGAAGCTATTATGTTCTACTTCCTTTAGTGTTTCTGAATCCCTTACCTAAAAAGTCCCCTAATTTATAAAGAAAACTAGCCTACAATTTATTTTTGTTACATTAATGCTTCCTAGTTACTAAATCACTAGCCAGTCTGAATAGGTTTTTCCTGACTAGATTTTGGAGCTGTGTCAGAATTTGAATTTGTGCCAGTCTCTGTCTGGTTTTACATGTGACTAAGTTATTCTTTGCTTGCAATTCCTGATTTGTCAGGACAGATTCTGACCCAACCTAAAACTTTATTCTTCAAAATTGAACATGTCAAAATGGTAACCAGGTTGTCATTCTTGAGTTTAGTGACCTTGGCTATATGCATAAAAGTCAAATTACAATTTGCAATTGCAAAGTTAGCTGACAGTGTGATATATCTGCACTAATGAAGGGCTCTCGCAGACAGTTTGCAAGAATGCCTTCATAGGAAAACTGCTATGCACATCATACTGTCTTCCAAATAGGTAGATTTAATGTGAAATCTTGAAGCAACAATGTAAACATTCTAAATTCGTTATCCCGTAGTAATCTAATTGTAGAATTATCACGATAGAAAGTTTAGTTATTAGAAATGACTTGACCTCTAGTCTTTCCAAGTGCCTGCCTAAATCCTAGCCTTCAGACAGTTGTGGTAATTTTTGTTTTTCCTTGCAGCAATTGTGTTATTGGAGTAAACTGGCTAAATTAACAGCTGTAGATAATTAAGGAGACAGGCTATGGTTTTCTCTCGATGCTCATTAGCACATGAATGGATTACAGCCAGATAGCTGTGGATGGACCTCCAATATCTCCAGTTCCTCCTTAAGTCATTGCATTTTTGTGGTTGATGATGCAATACAGTAGTAGCTAGATAGAGCTATTTAATGAAGTAGGAGATCAGCATGGTCTTGTTGAATGGCAGAGCAGGCTAGAGAGGCTAATTGGTCTATTTGAATACCTATTCTTTTATTTTCATGAAATGTTAAGTATTTTGTCAGTGCTTATCTTCTACTTTTACCTCTTAATGTGCCATCCTTGGTTGGGACAGGCATAGTTGGTGAAAATATACCTGCACAGTGCCAAGATGCCCATTCTTCACCTGAGCCTAGACCGGATCAAGCAGTTTACTCATGAAAGACATTAAAGCCAAACTTGCGATTAAGCTCCCAGCTGACCTCTAAGTGAGCTTTCCCAATCCTAGGATTAGCTTCAATTCCTCTGAAGAGGAGCATGTTCCTGCTGGGTACTTAGGTGTCTGGGTCTGTGGTGAAGACAGACTGGGACTGCATGCCACTATCGAATAGTCTACTTATTATTTTTATGCTCGCAAACCATTTGGATGAGATCCTAAAGGCTCCCAACATGTATAACTGCATAGGTTTATGTTTTCTAAGCAAGTTAAATGGTGTAAAACTATATCTAAATTTAAGTTGTCAACTAATTCCTGTTGAATGAAAAGCAAATGGAATTTTTTGTTTGATTTTGGATCCAGTACATAAGTTGTAGCACCCCATTTATTTTCTATGCAGATCGACAAATCTTTCTGGCAACTTGGAAGGACATTCCAAATGAGAATGAAGTACAATTCCAAATCAAAGACTGCCACCTTAATGCAGGTAAAATGTGGATTTTCTAAATTACTTATGGAATAAATTGGACACTCAGCATCGTTAAATTTGACTTTTGAAGAATTACGAGCTTTGTTGCCTGCATTCTCCTCGCAATGGACTCAACTTATTCTGTACATTTGTATGTTGCTGTCAGTTTGAAAAATAACAATAAAAATTAATTATTATAGGTGCAGAGTTTGCACTTCTTAGTGGACCTGCTGTGGTGGAAACCTGAAGCATGCCTTCTGTCTCAGAAGCCATTCAATTTCAAATGCAGTTTAAAGCTAATTTCCTGAATACACCCAATATGATTAGCTTTTTAGTGGTATGGCTGTTTGAACCCTAGTGTTCAACAGAGAGCAACTTAAACCTAACATTCACCTCTTCTGATCCATAACTAAGATTTAAGTCTAATCGTATATTTGTTTATTTTTATGCCTTATGAGAGCAATGTCATTTTAATATCTTGCTTCTAGAAGACTGCTGTGACATCTAATAATTTCTAGTCATCAGCTCAAAACTTTAACTATGTCTTTGTCTCCACAGATGCCACCAGACCAGCTGAATGTTTTGGCATTTGTTTATTTCAGGTTTCTAATTTCTAGTATGAGTATAGGAATAGGAAGAAGTTATTTAGCTTATTGAGCCTGCTGCATTATTTAATATGCTCATCACTGACTGAACACTTGAATGTCTTTTACTCACACTGTTGTCATATCCTTTATGCCACTGCTAGTCAGAAATCTATTTAAATATAGTCGAAGACTGAACTTCCAAGCCCTCGTGAGTAGAAAATTCCAAAGATTTACAACCCTCTGAGCAACATTTTCTCGCCATTTTTTAAAAATGCATTCTGGTTCTAGACTTCCCAGCAAGAAGGAAACACCTTACCCGCGTCTCCCTTGTCTATCCTTTAAGTATTTTGACAGTTTCAGTGAAGCTCCATAGCATACAGTCCAAGTATCTCTTCATAGGAAGGTCCCACCATTATGGGACAATAATGTATTTCCTGAGGTAAGGCGACCCAAACTGCACACAGTACTCTGATGTAGTCAGTAAAAGCTTCTATGCAATTGAAGGAAGACTTCACTGTACTCAAAACCTCTTGCGATTAAAGGCTAGTGTTCTACTAGCCTTCGTAATAGCTTCCTGCATTCCTGTTAGCCTTCAGTGACTTATTGACAGGGATACCCAGGTCCCTTTGCACATCTACAATTTCCAATATCTTACCATTTAAGAAATACTTTGCACATCTGTTCCTTCCACGAACCGTATTATATCTCATCTGCTATTTTCTTGCCCACTTCACTAAACCTGGCCAAATCCTCCTCACAACACGCATTCCTACTTAGCGTTGTGTCAACCAAAAATTTGGAAATACTACATTTGGTCCCTACATCCAAATCACTGATATATAATCTGAATAGCTGAGGCCCAAGTACTGATCCTTGCGGTAACCATGTGTCATAGTCCGTCAGCACAAGAGTAGGACCATAAGAGAGTTACCCATTTATCCCTACTCTGTTTTCTGTCTGTGAGCTAATCCTTAATCTATATCAATACATTACCTTTTGTCTTGCCTGTTTTTTAATTTTACTAACCAATCCACGTTTTCTACATCCATCAACTCCAATTTACCAATTTTAAAAATTCTAACAAGTACATCAAACACAATTTTCCATTTGCAAATCCATGCTGACTATACCCAGTCAGATGATTTTGATTCAAGTGTCCATGCATCACACCTTTTTTGACAGATTCCAGCAATTCCCCTACTGCTGATGCAAAACTGAGAGGTCTGTAGTTCTTTGTTTCTGTCTCGCTCCTTTCTTAAATAGTAGGATGACATTTGCTGGTTTCCAATCTGCAGGAATCTTTCCAGAATCTATGGAATTTTGGAAGCTGATCGCCAATGCTTTGACTAGCTCCATAGTCGTCACCTTCAGTACTCTAGAATGTAGCCTTTTAGGCTCCAGGAACTTAGCAACTTTCAGACCTGTTCATTTTTCCTGTACAGTGTTCTTCTTAATACTTCAACTCTTCGTACAGTCCACTTTTGTGTTTTGTTAGATGACATTTGTATTCTAATTTCCTTTCCTTCCCTTATCAATTTCTTGGTCCTCTTTTATATTCTTAAAAACTTCCTCAGATTTTTTTTACTGTCTTTGGCCATTTTATAAGCCTTTTTTAATGTTATACAATCCTTAACTTCATTCATTAGCCACGGTTGACTGGCCTTTTTTGAGTTTTAGTACATTGAAGAACTGTGTAGTTGAAATATGCTGTTATAATTCTTTAAATTTCCCAGTCCAACTGGTCCAATTTGTGCCTCATGGTTTTGTAACTTCCCATTCACAAATGAAACTCTTGCTTCAGATTATGCCTCACTTTTAAACATAATGTAAAATTTTATAATATTATGGTCAGTCATCCCTAAAAGTTCTTTTACAAGATTATCAATTAGCCCTTTTTCATACATGATACTAAAAGAGACTGTCCTTTTGTTGGCTCATCAACATTCTGCTCTGGAAAAGCTAGTTTGAACCAAAACCAGCAGCACCAGCAAATCTCCATATGAGGATGTCAGTCGCAGTCCTATGACGATGTAGCCCATCCAGCTTGTGCAGTTCACGCCTGTCCCAGAACTGGTCCTAATGCTTCAGAAAATCCCTGAGATACTACTTAAACTTATTCTCTACAGCTTTAGTGCTTAATTCTTTTACTCAATCTATATGCAAATTGAAGTCACCCATAATTACTATGCTGCCCATGCTACAAGCTTCTCTAAAGTGTTCATTTATACCATGTTCCACACTACCATTTGGTAACCTATAAATAACTCCAACCAATGTCTGATATTGCTTTCTTTCCGAGCTTCCCCTCAAACGGTTTCCACATATTGTTCGTCTGATCTGCGATCTTCCCTTACTAATATACTGATCCCATCTCTTACTATCAGTACAACTCCTTTCCCTTCTTGTGTGCACTTCCTACCCATTGAATATTCTTGATTCTTGGCTCCCGTTCCTGGTCACCATGAATCTGTGTTTTTGTAATGGCAATTATATCATAACCATTTACCTCTATGTGCTGTTAGATTGTGGTGAATGCTGCGTACATTCATGTAGAGAATTTACAATTTTGTTGTGTTAACATTCTGCTTCGGAGGCATACTCGATGCATGGCTTTGTTTTTCTGTCTTCTATTCTCACTCACAGCTTCTGGTTACCAAAATTGCTCCCTTCCGATTTGGATTACCACTCAGGTTCCCATTGCCTGACAAGCTAGTTCAAACCCACCCCAACAAGATTAGCAATTCTCCTTGCTAAGATATCAGTCTCAATCCTGTTAAGATGTAACCCATCCAGCTTGTACAGGTCACACCTGCCCCAGTACCAGTCCCAATTTCTGAGGATTTGATACCCTCCCTCCTAAACTGGCTCTCTAGCCTCGCGTTCGATCAATCAGTCCTTCTGTTCTTATGCTCACTAGCGCATGGCACTGGATGTCATCCTGAGATTACTGCTGCTCAGGTTTTGCTTTTAAATTTTCTTCCTAATTCCCTAGAATATCCTCTCAGGACCACCTCTTCCTACTTATGTCATCAGTGTATTTTGCTCTAGGATTATAGTAATGTTCTTTTTTGAAAAAAAAAAACAAGCATTTGCCCTGAATTCATTTGGCATAATGTTGCCTAGTGAAACAACAGAGTTGCAAACAATCTGAAAGAATGTCGTACTTCTAATTTTAAATTTGAGTTGCTTTGGATTGTA